ATCCATCCATCCATCCATCCATCCATCCATCCATCCATCCTCTCTCTCTCTTCTACCTCTCTTTATCTATCTATGCCAGGGGTCTTCAAACTTGACAGCTTTAAGACTTCAACTCCCAGAATTCCTCCTCCGGTCATGTTAGCTCAGGAATTCTGGGAGTTGAAGCCCACAAGTCTTAAACTTGCCATGTTTCAAGAGCCTTGGCATAGATAATCAAAACCGCTATAGAGATTGACCGCTTTTCTACAGATTTTTAAAGCCTCCAAGGTAAGATAAAGAATCAAACTGTGAGACTATTTCTAGGGGGAAATAACCCCAAATTAGGATGTATATGTGAGCAGATGCATACTAAAGATAATCTTTGACTTACAACAGTTCGTTTAAGACTACAACAGCACTGACTTATGTCCGTTTTCACACTTATGACTGCTGCAGCATGGCCATGGTAACGTGATCAAAATTCATACGTTTGGCCGCTGACTCACGTTTATGATGGCTGCAGTGTCTTGGGGTCATGCTTTTGCAACCTTCTGACAGACAAAGACAATAGGGAAGCCAGATTCACGTAACAACTGAGTCACTCATTTTGCAACTGCAGTGATTCATTTAACAACTGGGGCAAGAAAAATCGTAACATGAGGCAAAAGTTCAATTAACAAATGTCTCACTTAGTAACATACATTTTGGGCTCGGTTGTGGTAGTAAATTGAGGACTACCCATATAAAGTAAAATCTAGAAGGCCACTTTTCTCAGTGGAGAACTAGGGAGCAGGAAATAATACAAATTATGCTCTGATTTCCCTTAACAGTTTGCAAAGATTTTAAAAGAAACACTATTCACTAGCAAACAAGTCAAGCCTCATTTGCATAAAGCACTGCCCCAGGTTTTTAGTTCACAATTCTAATTAATACCCAGTTCCTCGTTTTGTAACAGCTCAATAAGTAAGCCAACGATAGACCTAAAGCATATGTAACACTCCCTGTACAGCTTAGTGTAGAAATATTTCAGAACTTTGATTGGGGTACTCTACTCAAAATGTACACTGCTGCCCAAAACACAATCCCAAATTTTGCAAACCAAGACTTTGTGCAGTCCACAACTAATTTTAGAGCCGCAACAAGCTGGAAGCCCATCGGTCTGAGAGAGTGATAGGTCGTTCCATTGTTTACAATCCAGCATTCAGCAAGCATATCTATGCCATTGCCAAACATAATATGCCAACTCACCCTTCGTTAGATTCAACAGGCAGTTTCTGTTGCAATCGATAATAACTGTAGAGTTTCATAATAAAAGACAGCCTTTTAGAAAAGAGACCTTACCAATCAGGGGGATAATAATTAAAAAAAAAAGTCTTATGAACCTAATTCTGGTTTCCTAATTCCAGTTCACGTCCCTTCATTTGAAGACTCCAAAGATCAAAACTTCGCATTTGGATACATCTCTAAGTTACAGTTTGACATAAACAAGACCCAGAATTTATCTCACCTGGTGCAATTCTTGAGAGAAAATAGGGTTATAAAAATTATTCCTAGGTTCTTACCTAGATATGAAACACCTTCCTCTGGAGTGATGGTTCCATATTTAACCATCATCTTGACGAAATCTATTAGCGTTTTCATGATTGTAATCAGGGTTTCCTTTTCTTTCACTTCTTTCTCTGCGTGAAGAATAAACAGATTCATGATCTCTTGGAAGTTAAGATAGCATGATTGTTTAACTTAAAAAAAAAACTTTTATCTTTTGATCAGCACGGGGTTTTTTTCTCTCTCTCAGCCGGTTTGATTTTCAGGAGAGAAGACTATTGGCACAGCAGACTGAATCTGAATTAATGGGCCTGTTGAGAAATATTGCATGACTTAATCTGCATAAGTAGATTTGTGCGTTTTTCCGATTCTGGACCAATACAGATGGTGACATAATCCTCAGATGGTGAGGATTATGGCCACTGATCCATTCAAAAGTGAGAATGCGATAGCTCAGCTTTTATTTAATTTCTATTCATTTGGACCTGCCTTTTTTCTCCAACTAGCTTTCCAAATTAATGGGTGTTTATAGGGCTTTTAGTCATCGCTTCTCTCCCAGATTGTTGTCATTGAATGATCAGAGCAAATAAGTGAAAAATCAGGAAATGGATTCATATTTCACGCTAAGCCATCATCATGTTGTTTGCTCCGGCTTGGTTTAATGAGCTATGCGAGCATGATTAGCCACTGTGTTTTAGGAATCTAGGTATGGGCTTTGTGATCCTAAATTATGACAGCTGGCAAATCACAGTTAAGCAAATGGGATGCCTGAACACAGCTCAGCAAATAATCTGGGCCAATTGGTAAGGATTTGAACAACTGAAACACAAAATGGACTGAAATGGATTTTTCATATGGTTATTAAGATGCAGATGCATTCCACCGTATAGGAGTCAGAGTCCATGATGCATTATGGTTTGTTTAAACTAGGGGTGTCCAACTTGATTTCACTGAGGGCCGCACCAGGGTTGTATTTGGCCTGGGGGACCCGGGGGAGGCATAGCCAGGGTAGACGTGGTTGTTCTGACCTGGGCTTCCCAAGATCATGAAGCAGACTCCTCGTCCTGATAAAATCCCTTTTATTTAGGTTAAAGGAAATTCCTCTCCAGCAAAGTCCAGGCAAACAGTCTTTCAGGAGATTTCACAACTATAGACCTTTATCAAGCTTGGAGATTTGCCAGGCTGATATTTTCAAAACACCACATTGTAGCAGCAATGACTTGGCAAGAAGTCAGAAACAGATCTTCATCCTAATGAACTGAATGAATTGTCTCCTGCAAAAACCACTCCCCTTCCGTTCCTTTTTATTCCCTATGGGAGGGGCCATTCACTGTCCACCTGTGCCCTTACTCCCGAGTCGATCCTTGTTCCTTAACTATTCCCTTCTCCTGGCAGCTCTGTGCATGTGCACACTGGGAACAGGCTCCAGCTGTTCTTCTGCCCCACTGATCTCCAACTTTGAAGGCAGCTGATAACTGTCGGATGGCCCTGGCCCCATCTCTGCTTCCAATACAGAGCCCTCGTCAGAGCCTTCCCCAGACTCCAGGACTGGCCCATGTTCCTCCCCAGCCTCCTTACTGTCCGAGTCTGCTGCCAGTTCCACTGGCTGCTGGCCGGCCACAACAGTGGCCAGCTCAATGTCACTCATGTTGGGGGTGCCTGTGGTGGCCCAAGCACTCTGCCAGTAAAAATGGAGTTCCATTTTCGTTGGCAGAAGGTCACAGGAAGCTGTTGCAGCCAAAATCGGAGGTGAGGGGGGCCAGCACATGGCCCTCCCAACCTCTGTTTTCACTGGCAGAGGCACCACAGGCCAGTCTTTTCCTGTTTCCAGGGTGGCCCCGCAGGCCAGATCTAAGCACCTCGCGGAGCTGTATATGGCCCATGGGTTTTGAGTTTGACACCCCTGGTTTAAACTGATCTGACTTGACAAATGTTTGTTTATTGATCTATTGCTGTGATGGTGAACCTATGGCATGCGTGCCACAAGTGGCATACAGAGCCATTTGTGCCAGCACGCGAGCCTCAGGCAAACTTACTTCACTGCACATGCGCACTCCTCACAGCTGATTTTTCGACTGGATTGAGGCCTTTTTTTGGCCTCCCAGAGACTTGGAAAAAGCCTCTGCGAGGCTTTTCAGGTCGAATAGGCCTGGTTCGTCATTTCCTGTAATACCGGAAGTGATGAAACGGGCCTATTATTCATCCGGAAAAGCCTTGCAGAGGCTTTTTCCAAGCCTCTGGGAGGCCGAAAAAGGCCTCAAACCAGCCAAAAAATCAGCCGTGAGGCTCAGTGCAGGTATGGCGGGTGGTGGGGGTGGGTGGGAATTGAGCGCGCATGTGCAGAGGGTGTGGGTGTGCATGCATTACATTCTGGGTGCTGGCATGCAAGTGCGTGCACGCTAATGCGCATGCAATTTTTGGCACAGGAGCCCCAAATGGTTAGCCACCACTGTTCTACTGTATTGTTTTTTAAATGGGTAAGCTGCCCAGAGCTGCTATGGTGAGATGGGCAGCTTATAAACCCAAGAAATAAAATAAAATATAAATAAATAAAACATGGGATAACTCCGATATTTGGAATAATTGATCCATAGGAAACTCACCTGAGTTAAGGCTTTTTAATAGTTCATAGAAATTTGGGAAGTATTGGAGATCCTGAAAGCGATCCTCTAGGGGCAGTTCATTTCTTCTTTCTAAGATATTGGCGGGTGCCCAGGTATTATCCAAGGTATCATCTCCATCAGTATTTTTTAACACCTTCATAAAACAAAATAGAAGTATGTATCAACTCATAAAACATTTCTATGGCCGTTTTATAGTTACTAACAGAAAGGGAGGGGGGAAAAGGGGTTTGAAAGAGCAGTGCAGCGGCTTGGAATCGAAAGTGCATTCCATGCATAGTTTTTCAGAGATTGTAACACGGTGACCGAAGTTTCTGCCCCGCAAAAATCTAATTGGAGAACATGATGGACAACGCTTGGCTATGGATGTGTTTCATTGGAGAATATGAATTAGGATACACCTGGGGGGTGGGGGAAAGCCAGGGTCAAGGGTGACAGTGAATTATGTGTCTCAGAGTTGGCTACACCCAGGGGGTGCCGGCATGTTAACTCCCAATAAATCCTGCTTAGTTTGGCTCAGGATTCATGATTTAATAGGGGTTACTGCCAGAATCCTGACGGTATATATATTTGGATATCACAACCAAATACTTGATGCCAACTAAATGCACAGCAGGAAATGCCTTAGTCCACTGAAGGGATTAAAGAAATTAATACAAAATAAGACTAACAATCGGGATGAAAGAAAGTGACCGGCCTAAGTTCACCCAGCTGGCTTTGTGCCAGAGTCTGGACTAGAACTCACAACCTCCTGATTTCTAGCAGCCATGATGTCTAGATGTACAAGTCTAATTTTTAAGTACCAGATACTGGAAGTGAACTATAGAGATTCCATTATTTTTATTCACTGCTCATGAATATTCAAAAGCATCTTGCAGCCATCCTATGGAATAGAATTGGCTGGGATCATCCTATACATGAAACTATGGTATAATAACATCACCATCTTTTAATGACCCCATAATCCCTTATGGGGTAGAGTCTGGGGGTAACTGAATGTGGCTAGCTGAGTGTTTACTGGCTGGATGCCCTTCCTGTCGCCAATGCGGAGTTTTGTTCTCATTGTGCCCAGAGAGAGAAATATTTGCTTTTACCTAGGATCGAACTTACAGGCTGTTCATTACATATTGGATCCTACCAAGACAAAACTATTTTAGGTTATTCAGTGGGGTAGGTTTCTCAGAGATGGAAAAAGTTCTTCAACCTAGATATCGTAGTGTATTTCCTAAGAGAACGATTGACAAGTAGGCACGGCCATTGAACTATCCCATTAAAAGTGAGTTGTAATGAAGAAGGATTACCGGTTTTATGTTCTGCTTCTCTCGGGTCTTGCTTGGGAGTCCTTCAGAGGCCTTTTCCCGATCTCTGGCTTCGTCAGCAATCAGCTGCTGCAATGCTTCGGCCACTTCATCCTCCAGGGTGTAGGCTTGGCTTTCAGTGATCTGAAAGCCAGGAAAGGAAGAAACAATGACTTTTTGATTCTCTCCGTGAACTCTGCATACCACGTCTAGGTGCTTTTGAGACAGGTAGGCAAAAAGAATTCACATTTGAATCCCGAGGAATTCCATTGTAGTCCCTGATTTATTTATTTATTTATTTATTTTGCTATGATATTTTGTAGAATCTAAAAGCTAGACCAGAAATTTGAAAAGAGAAAAGGAAGGGAGGGAAGAAAGGGGTAGAAGCAAATCATTTTCATCTGCACGGTTGTGTCTGTATAAGTGATCTTCAACTCAATGAAAAAATTATTTTAAAAAGAAAAACGCAATGCAGAATTAAACAGAAAGCAAATTAAGATTCACAGATTGGCTGTAATTGATTAAAACTCCTCTTCCTTTACACATTGGATTTCTTCCTTGATTCTTGGGGCAATTCAATGCTTTGGCAACGCAAGAAAGAACTTCACAGAAAGTATTTCTCACATCCTGGTTATTTTTCCCTACGTTTTGAGCTTCTCTGTCAATCATAAAGCTTTTCAAGTAATTGGCAATAATTGGATATCATGGAGAAACATCTTGTGACTGACGCAAATCAAAGTTACAGTTCAAAGCCTGAGCAAAAATGCAAAATAATAGCAATAATACTTAGACTTATATACTGCTTTAAAATGCTTTACATGTCTCTCTAAGCAGTTTACAGAGTCAGCCTATTTGCCCCCAACAATCTGGGTCTTCATTTTACTGACCTCGGAACGATGGAAGGCTGAGTCAACTTTGAGCTGGTCAGAATCGAACTGATGGCAGTCGGCAGAGTGAGCCTGCAATACTGTATTCTAACTGTGCCACCACGGTTCATTAAGTTAAATACCCCTTTCTTTATTTAAAAACAAATACATTTGCTCCAATTTTTTCTTCAGAATCATCTTTGAACCTTCAGACAAGAAGTAGGAAGAAAAACCAAGCTGATTGTATAACTAAACAGGTGCCCAAAACACTCACCAGGCCCAGGTTTAGAAGCTTGGAAACAATCTTGTCAAAGACGCCTCTGTCATTTTCCTCATAAATTCTCATGGCAATCTTCTGGACGATATCCTCAGCTGTTAACGGGGTCCCATCAAGCTGACGAAGTCCATCAGGGTCATCTGAAAGAACAGCAAGGAGATAAAATGATGTTTGGGACAGCTGTAGGTCAGTGGTAGAATACAAAACCTCAGGTTCAAGTCTTGGTATCTCTTGGAGAAGGAGACCTGGGGGAAAAAAAATTCTATCTTAAGGACATCTCATTGAGGTGTATAACTCATTCTGCCTAATTTACGGGATATAATTTTCTCCAATGTTATGGTCCACATTTTGCCTGAAGGGCATTCTAGAGACAACCCTCCAAAAGGGAATCATGATATATATCTTTCGTTTCCTCTTACCTTACTATGATTGTGCTTAATAATAGACACGATTACATTTAATTACGTTTTCCTTCTGTTCCATTAAACTTTATAATGTAGGAACCATCCCCTGGAGGACTCTGAGGCTTGAAAAACGGCACTGTGCCTAACAATGTAACTGGGCCTGTCTCTAGTTTCAATGATTATTAGACTCAAATTTGTCTGATGTTGAAAACAACTATTCGTCTGAAATGGTAGAGGGTTTCTTTCTGCCTGAGCAGGGGGTTGGACTAGAAGACCTCCAAGGTCCCTTCCAACTCTGTTATTCTAAAAAGATAAATGTTAGGCCAGTTACGGTCTATTGAACTTCTGCATCAGATCAGATTTTCTGCTATTCTGCTCCACTGGACATACGTTAGCGTGTTGCATGGCTTTGTACTGTAGATTATTCCACAGTTGGTGTATGTATGTAGCTATTCCCTTTACCTATTTGGAGTGGGCAGTCCATATAATCAAAGCTCAGTTAACGCTGTCCTTCATAGTTAAGTAATCTAAGTATATTCGGCGGTACATTTTGCGCATAGCAGGGATCACTTTCTCTTCCTGTCCTCTTTTTTTTAAAAAGGTCAACACTAGTGCTAATTATGAACATCATGGAAAATTCACATCGTGCGTGCAGAATGAAATTGGTTTACGTATTGCTGATAAACTAAAAAGGTTTCTATTTTTGTATTCCATGGTTCCTCTAATATGGGGATTGCACTGCATTTGGATGGCATCCATGAGAACAGACTGAGATTTGTTAGAGACAGAAATGTTCTTCCCATAGCAAAATGTGCTTTAGAGTGGAATCAGATGTACCAGCAATATCAGAGATCTCTCCAATCTGATGTTCTCCAGAAGTCTTACAATTAGAATTCAAGAAACCGATAACTTGAAGGCACGTGCTTCCTTCAAACGAGTCTTCTCCGATTAAGTAAAAGGCCTTGTTTATTTCTGGGTGTTTATCATCTCCATTTTGGATTCAAAAATTGTAAACTTTTGGTATTTCTGCCAAGGTAAGCTTCTGTATGCTTACTTCTCTGCGTGTACCGATATCTACAACAGGGCAACTTCACAAGCTGTGGACTTCAACTCCCAGAATTGTCGTTGACTCATGAATTCTGGGAGTTGAAGTCCCCAGGTCATAAATTTGCCATCGTTGCCCACCCCTGGTCTACGGTCTCCTTCATAAATGGTGCCACTTTAGCTACCCAAAAACCAGCCTCAGTTATGAACCTCTGACTTCGGTTGCATATCAGGCAAGCGTTCTGCTCAGTGGTGTGTTTCAAAATTGTGTTCCACTGCTTCAGTGGGCGTGGCTTGGTGGGCGTGCTTTGCGTGCGTGCACGCACTTTGTACGTGGATGTGGGCCAACTCACCTCCTGCAAGCCTGCCCTCTCCCGGTTACTTCAGCAGCTGCCGTGTAGCACTCTGCTGTTCCGTGCAAAGCAGCTGCCCTTCAAAAGCAGAGGTTAAAGGTGAGTGCGGGAGCCCAGGTGGGCGGGTGGGCCCAACAGCGGAGCGGCGGAGAGAACTGGTTTGATCTCCGCTGCTCATTGCCACTACCGGATCGACCAAACCGGGCCGAACCGGTAGAATACCACCACTGGTTATGCTATTGGTTTAGGCTTGAATTGTCTATATTCCTTAGCCACTGAAATATATCGTGGTTACGTGTGCCCTAAGGCAGGCTTCCCTATTTTTCCAGCTTTGTGGACCGGCGAGGGGGGGAGAGGAGCTGGCTCCACCAGAGCGGTGGCTAAGCATACGCATCTCCAGCACAGAATGCACTTAACTGTGGCTTGTTGAACAAATTTGCACCAGCGGTGGGCACGTGCACCCAGCACTCACACGAATGGAGATGCACACGTACCCTCTCTTGCAGCTCGTACATGTGTGCGTTTTGGGTTCTGCGGCCCCATGGATTAGGGACGCCACCCCAAGGTACTGTGTTTTGAGTAACAAGCCATGTGTCAGCTCTGAGATTCAGCTGCCAAGCATGAAAAGGGGGGTGGAGAAGTTAGAAAGTTCAAGGTTATTCTGTATGCCACATTGAGAAATTCCAGCTGTAGTTAATTGGTTCTCGTGATTAATGAAGTGTAGAAGTGGGAGGAGAGAAGGCGGATTTTGTGTAAGGTGCAAAAATGACTTTCACTTTTGGAATTGCCTTAGAAGTACCAGAGCTGTTCCTAATAAATCAGTTGGAGATTATCTTGTCTCGGAGTGACTGATTACCATGGATAATTTTGGATGCCTAACACCATGGTGAAGTACATTCTGTGCTGTTGCATAATGGCTTGAATCTCACTCTCTCCTCTTCCCCCCCCCCCCAACATCGTTCCTTTACCCATATCAGCAGTGCTTGGCACACGGCCATCTTGGCATTCTTGTTGCTTCGCCGCTAAGATTGATGAGTCTACCGTGATGACGTGCATTCAGAGAAGCCGTTCGACTCATCTGCGTACGTAGGATGAATTCAAAGCATAGTGGTGGTTGGTGACGGCTAGTGCAGTACCTGGATATTTATAATCCACATCACTTTTAGTGGAGTCATACTCATCCACCAGCCTGCGTGTCTTGGTGGAATCTACATCGTCAAGAGCAAGCTGTTGGGGATACGGGGGACTCCTGACCGATTCCATTTCCTTTTCCTTTCTGTCTTTTTCCACAACAGATCTCAGCAGGTTCAAGTCATCCACAAATGAATAATTCCTGAATTCTGGCTTATTGTCTGGAAGATCTGGAATACAGACGTGTGAGAAACCAACTCATCCTCTGAGCAAGCAGCAGTCTGAGTGAATCAGGAATGTTTTTTTTTTTTTAACAAAGGGGGGGGTAAGGAAAAGTAAGTGAGTCGGGAATAAGAAAAGAAGGCTTACCTGTCCGGAGTGATTTCTTCATCTTGTCTGTCTCTGCTTCAGCAATCTTTTGGGGTAAACAGATAACAGATAATTAGAGTTGGAAGGAACCTTGTAGGTCATCTAGTCCAACCCCCCCCCCCACCTAAGAGGGAGACCCTACACCATTTCTGACAAATGGCAGTCCAATCTCTTCTTGAAGGTCTCAAGTGATGGAGCTCCCACAACTTCCAAGGGCCACTTCTGTTCCATGGGTTGATTGCTCTCACTGTCAGAAAATGTATCCTTATTTCCAGGTTGAATCTCTCCTTGTTCAGTTTCCATCCATAGTTCCTTGTCTGGCCTTTTGGGTGCCTTGGAAAATAGCTTGACCCCCTCCTCTCTGTGGCAGCCCCTCAAATATTGGAAGACTGCTATCACATCTCCCCTCACCCTTCTCTTCCCTAGACTAGCCATGCCTGGTTCCTGCAACTGTTCTTCATATAAAACAGGGTGGGGGAGAGAAGACTGGGTGAGGTGGCTTCTTGGGGTCCATTGAGTTATCTGCCAAAGATAAGCCAAGAGGAGTAAACTGGGCTAAGAAGGAAGAATCTTGGGGATAGTAGCAATGAGGACCAGCCTTATCAACTGGCCTTCTGTCCAATAGTCCTCTTTTTAACAGTTGCAGGAAGTGGGCATGTCTAGTCTGATGAAAAGAAGGACTAGGAGAAACAGGATAGCAGTGTTCCAATATCTCAGGGGCTGCCCCAAAGAAGAGGGAGTCAAGCTATTCTCCAAAGCACCTTAAAGGCAGGACAAGAAGCAATGGGTGGAAACTAATCAAGGAGAGAAGTAACTTAGAATTAAGGAGAAATTTCTTGACAGTTGGAATAATTAACCAGTGGAACGACTTGTCTCCAGAAGCTGTGAATGCTCCAACACTGGAGGTTTTTAAGAAGAGATTGGATAACCATTTGTCTGAAATGGTCTAGGGTCTTCTACTTGAGCAGGCTGGACTAGGAGACCTCCAAGACCCCTTCCAGCTCTATTCTGATTCAATATATTTTGCCTGCATGAGGTCCTAGTCTCACCTTGATATCATTAATTAAAATTAGCAGATGGCAGTTAGCTTGCAATACTGATCTGAACAGGCGATTAGCTTGCCTTGGTGTAAACCAGGGGTGGGATTCTACCAGTTCGGACCAGTTCTACAGAACCGGTTGTTACCATTCTGTGCAGTTTGGAGAACCGGCAAATCGCGCCATTGGCTGGCCCCGCCCCTCCCCGCCCCTCCCCACCCAGTCACTCCTTATCTCGCATGCATGCCATCCAACTCGCCTGCGTCGTGCAAGCAAATTTTACATGACAGACTCAGGCAGCCGATTGCAGAAAGGTAGATCTGTGAGTGAATCTGTGATTCTGCAAGCAACTCAAACTGCCTGCCTGCTTTGCCTAACTTTGGGTAAAAGTTGTTCTTTGTTTCAATAAAAAATTCAATATTTACATAAATATTTACAATCTTTACATACAAGCCACGCCCAGCCGGTCACGTGACCACTAAGCCACCACCCCCCGCAAATTAGGTCACACCCACAGAACCAGCTGTTAAGAAATTTGAATCCCTCCCCTAGTGTAAACCATCATCTCCCCTACATCTCTACTTAAGCAGTAGGGGGAAAAAACATGATATTCCCTTTGATGTTTGCCTTATGTTCCTTAATGCTCCGTGGGTTTTACTTCTGATGTATTTTTCCCTGTGCCTCTTTAAGTTACTGGATAGTTAATTGCTGCTGGATTCCAAAATGTGTGAGCTCTTATTTATCTCCTCCTTTTAGTAAGATTTCTGGTAGCCTGTTTGTGGAAATATAGTAAAATAAAGAAAATAAATCCCGCTCCCCACCCCCAAAAAGACAGTCAAGGGAGACATTTCATCTGCCCTAGCAAGAAAAGAAATCAGGCGTTTTCAACTTGCCCATTAATGCTTTTATTGATTTCATTAATGGAAGAAGATGGGTGGTAGCTCAAGAAGGAGGAATTGCTTTTTGTGCAAAGGAAGTTCAGCATCTGAGATCTCAAGCAGGACAGCAAAAATATCAGTTTCAAACCTAATGTTTGTCAGTGTTTGACATTAGAAATAAAAGGACCACAGATCTGGTTCAGTCTCACGTTCTTCTTCCCTCAAAGGCTAATATGTTCATTATAGAAAACCCTCGGTGGGTTGGAATCCTCAAAACTTTGCACGACTATGCCTCCAAATAAATTTCCCTGATGCTTTGGCTAATCGGCAAAACGTTTGAGGATTCCAGAACGTTTTGAAGACTGACAATTATTCTCCTGTGCGCTTGTGGTGCGTGAACATCTACGTCATCAGTTGCATGAATCTGATTATTTTTGGCAGGGATGAATTATTCACTTGTCAGCTAAAAGCTCATTTTGTAGCAAGGATGCAGCTGCACATAAGCTCCTATAAAAATATTGTATACACTGACTTCGGCAGGATTGTGGTCTAGTAAATATTTAGTTGGAATGTTTATGTGGCATAGGATTTTTGGTTTGTTTGGTTTTTTGATTAGTCCTATGAAATTAATTTATTTAGATCATAAGGATTTTCCTAGCAACTAGAGGCTTGGGTTTCTGCTGGTTTTTACAGTACTGAAATATATTTTTGTAGAAATTTGCTTGACCTACCTGTTCTTCCAATGGTTTCTCTACACTTAGTTCTCTGTTGTATACTGTTTTATCTGGAATACAGACATATATATTTAGATAGCTGTGGTACAATCAGGGTTGCATGCTTTCTCTCTTGCATATACCTATGTATATAATAATAAAACATATTATCAAAGTTCATCCCGACCTCTTTCCCTAAAACTCCACTTGTTTAAAAATGCCGAAACAAGTCCCAGAGGAACCTTGTTAGGGTAAAAAAAACAAAAACCCAAAATGTTTATTTTTTGCTTTTAATTAATGAAATTAGCCCTGGATATTCCTTCACATGAAGGCATGTTATTTGTCATTATACATCATCTAATGCATAAGAACTGGACTAAAATAGCAGTAACGTAATCAGCTTGGAATAATCAAGAGATTAAAAGGTTGTATGACATTAAGAGAAACCTGTACAGAGATAGAGACAGGGGAAAATGTTTCCTTGCAAATCAAACAGGCCCAGCATGAAAAAGAAATTTGGAATGAAAGGAATTCAAACTTTTTTCTCCAATTTTTTTAAAAAAATCTTCCCTTTTTTTCTTATTTTATTTAATTTGGCACACACACACATCCGCTTTAATCCGGGGGCTGTGTTCCAAATCTGTATATGTATGTAGATTTTGGAACGAAAATCTGATGCGGTTATAATTTCTATTCTTTAAAAAATTGTTCAGCGTCTCGCAGCCTCTAAGTCCTTGCAAGGCGATGAAGGGGTAAAAATACACTACAACTAGTGAAAGACGAGGAAGTTTAAAACGAGACCACCCCAACCTAAGGCGGGTCTGCTTACCTTCTCTTGCACCTTCAGGTTTCGGGAAGCCAAACATTTGGCCCACGATCAAGGACAACATGGTTAGCAGGCTGAGGAGCATCTTTCTGCCCATGGTTTAGGAGAAAGCAGGATCTTGTACAGATCAAAGGAGCGCCCAGCAAGGATGCTTCGTCTCTTTTTCTTTGTGTGATGACGTAGGTCTCTGGGCGGATTCAGCCAGCGGCTCCAAGTACCAGTTCAATGAATCTGGAGCTGTCCAGGGCTGCTGGTGCTGAAATACCCAGAGTCCCAGCTGCTCCTGGATCAACCAGCTACTCCGGAGGATGCTGGAGAGATTCCCAGTGACGGATCAGCCTCCTCTTTCCCCTCCTTTCCCTATCAATAGATGAGCTAGTTCCTTTCTCTCTCAGCAGCTCCTAGCCAGGGTGGAGGAGAGGAGAGAAGAGGGGAGGAGATCAGGGATGAGAAAGGGATGGAGGGGGCTGCGGATGCTGGAGCATGCGTGTGATGAATCCGCTCTCTTTCCAGCCCAGCCTTGCTTGCTGGAAAGAACTACAGGAAAGCATTAAAGCCCAGGATGGAAATATTTCTTTGTTTTCAAGCCTGTTCTGCCCATGAAAATAAAAACACACCTTGCTTCTAGAAAGGTGCCCTTGACCTCCTCATTCTGAAAGAGAAAGGGGTGCACATCATGGCTGGACACACGACCCTTGACCCTCTCTTGAAGTGATGTCCAGGGTAAGCTGACATTTATGATGAACTTTGACTGCCCACAACTCCCCGGGCAAGGAGAATGTGTCTTTTGTGCTTCTCTCCCCCGCCCCACCTGCCCCGCGGTAACGGGAGGAAGAGGTTTTCAGCAGCAAAAAGGTGGAAGGATGCTACAGTGGTTTTCTTTTCAAGAAAGTACAACTGCACGACACTTTCTGCATGTGGCAAATTCACCTTTCTGGACCCTTTTTATCACTGAAAATATTTGTCAAATGAGTCAGCGTCGATTCTTAGCATCCCCAACAACCATGGCCCCAATCAAGGAACCGTGGTCCCAGTCAAGGTGAGGAGGAGCACGCAAGAGAACCTAGAAGACAAATTCATCTAGAGACAACTGATTCATGGGGCTTTTAGGGAGCCACTGGTCAGGTCAAAAGTGCACAGGGCAAAGTTCTGTTAAGGAATAAATAGACTGTATTATATGATGAATATCCAACAACTGAAAGAAGTTTTGTTTGACAGGCTAGCGTGTAGAGCACTTGTCTATAAAGTCACCAAGAGTGGGTTAAAGCAACAACAAATATATTAGATACTAGCTGGATACCGTGCTTTGTGACAAAACTTTGTGATTGGGCTATGCAGGAGAAATTTGATTCACAATCCGCTCAGTGGTGGTCAGCGATTGACACACATAAGGGAATATCACTCCCGCTGCCTTGAGTCTGGAAGTGGCTCCATAGGTGGAAGGTGTAGACAGTTTGGTGAGGTACCAATATTTAGTACTGTAAGGAGCCCCAGGCTGCTCCTGAGTAAAGGAGTGGGACGTCTGCCAGTTTGAACCGAGGTAACAGAATGTGAGGCAACTGGCAGTTGGAACAGAGTTCTTTTCAGGTGGGGAGGGGGAGTAGAAC